TTGGTGTAGTGGTTAAGTGCGCAGACTCTAATCTGGGAGAACCGGGTTTGATTCCCCACTCCTCCACTTCCACCTGGCAGGATGACCTTGGGCAAGCCGTAGTTCTGATAAGAGCTGTTCTTGAAAAAAGTGCAGTTTCTGTCAGAGCTCTCTCAGCCCCACCTATCTCACAGGGTGCCTGTTGTGGGGAAGGGAAGGGAAAGGAGTTTGTAAGCCGCTCTGAGACTCCTTTGGGTAGTGAAGGGTGGGGTATAAATCCAATCTCCTCCTCCTCCTCCTCTTCTTCTTCATCTTCTTTTACCTCACGGGGTGCCTGTTGTGGGGAGGGGAAGGGAAAGGAGTTTGCAAGCCGCTCTGAGACTCCTTTGGGTAGTGAAGGGCGGGGGATAAATCCAATCTCCTCCTCCTCCTCTTTCCATTCCCCCCTCAACCCCCGCTGCTGTTTTCTTTTCAGATTCTGATGTCAGAACCGGGCAAACTAAGTCAGAAGGTCAAAGTGTGGCTTCAGGAGTACTGGAACATCACCGACTTGGTGGCGATCTCCATGTTCCTGATCGGGGCGATGCTCCGTTTGCAAAACCAGCCGTACATGGGTTACGGGAGGGTCATGTACTGCGTGGATATAATTTTCTGGTACATCCGTGTGCTGGACATCTTCGGCGTGAACAAGTACTTGGGGCCGTACGTCATGATGATTGGGAAGATGGTAGGTATCCGTGTATTTGGAAGCCTTGAGAAGTCAGGGGCCGTGGTCAGAGTGTTGAATGGGTGGTAAGGAGATGCCTGGTGGGATGCTGGAGCAACTCTGTGGAATGTCGCCGAGCAAGAAGTTCTGGGAAACCAGGTAGAGAAGCTGGAGACATGCCGGAAACCTCAGGGCCGGCCTGGAGAAAATGGCTCTCCCATCATCCTAAGAGAGGCGGTTTGGTGTAGTGGTTTGGAGCGCGGACTCTAATTTGGGAGAACCGGGTTTGATTCCCCACTCCTCCACATGCAGCTGCTGGTGTGACCATGGGCCGGTCACAAGTTCTTTCATAGAATCATAGAGTTGGAAGGGACCTCCAGGGTCTACTCCAACCCCCTGCACAATGCAGGAAATTCAGGAGGTTGGACTAGATGACCCTGGAGGTCCCTTCTAGCTCTATGATTCTGTGAAAGAAAGAAAAAGCTGCTCTCTGAAGGGTAGTTCTCGGGAGAGCTCTCTCAGCCCCACCTACCGCACAGGGTATCTGTTGTGGGGAGGGGGATGGAAAGGAGATTGTAAGCAGTTCTGAGACTCCTTCAGGTAGTGAAGGGTGATGTATAAATCCAATCTCCTCCTCCTCCTCCTCCTTCTTCATCCCAGATTAATCCAGGGGAATACATCTGTACAAACTATTTATTTAGTTATTAAAAGTTTACATACCACATTTCTGCCCAATTAGGACTACCAAGGAAGCTAACAGTTAAAAAAAAACATTACCAAAAAAAAAATCATAAAAAACACAATTGAAACCGACACTGAAATATTTTAATTTAAATAATTTAAAATATTTGTTAGCCGCCTTTCAGGAACTCAAGGCGGCGTCCAGTATCACTGGCAACAAAACACGCTAAAATACATGAGACCACACATTTAAAATCGATAATTTTAGGTAGAAGAACTGAAATTAATCGAATGCCATCCTGAATGAAATCGTCTTCAGTTGTCACCTAAAGGTGGAGAGTAAGGGGGGCAGCGTATGAACTTTCGAGACTTGATGCTCCCTTCAGGAACCAATTAAATTTTCGGGGTATGAACTTTCGAGACTCAATGATTCCTTCAGGAACCAATGACATTTTCAGGGTATGAACTTTCGAGAGTCAAAGTTCCCTTCAGGAACCAATGAAATTTTCAGGGTATGAACTTTCGAGAGTCAAAGTTCCCTTCAGGAACCAATGAAACTTTCGGGGTATGAACTTTCGAGAGTCAAAGTTCCCTCCAGGTACCAATGAAAATTTCAGGGTATGAACTTTCGAGAATCAAAGTTCCCTTCAGGAACCAATGAAATTTTCAGGGTATGAACTTTCGAGAGTCAAAGTTCCCTTCAGGAACCAATGAAAATTTCAGGGTATGAACTTTCGAGAATCAAAGTTCCCTTCAGGAACCAATGAAATTTTCGGGGTATGAACTTTCGAGACTCAATGATTCCTTCAGGAACCAATTAAATTTTCGGGGTATGAACTTTCGAGACTCAGTGCTTCCTTCAGAAACCAATGAAATTTTCGGGGTATGAACTTTCGAGAGTCAAAGCTCATACCCTGAAAATTTCGTTGGTCCAGAAAAGAGCTTTGAGTCTTGAAAGCTCGTACCCTCAAAATTTCATTGGTCTCTTAGGCACTTGAATCTAGCTGTTTCCTCCATCGCCTTTTCAGCCCATGCGCAAGACATGTGCATGCACTCTCGATAATAAGGAGGCGGGTCTGGGCTCTTTCCCCACACAGATGATCGACATGTTGTACTTTGTGGTGATCATGCTGGTGGTGCTGATGAGCTTCGGGGTGGCCCGCCAAGCGATCCTGCACCCCGACGAGGAGCCGTCCTGGCGGCTGGCCAGGAACATCTTCTACATGCCTTACTGGATGATCTACGGAGAGGTGTTTGCAGACCAGATAGACCGTAAGAGCAGAGTTCATAGTAAGAATTCTGTTTCCTGTTTCCGAGGCAGATGATCGGATCCAAATTAATCGGCGTTCCCTTGTTTTACTGTGGAACCGGCGTTGGCCATCACCTTTCCTGCTGTAGACTAGGCTGTGCTTGTGATAGATACGATCGTCTCCCCCTAGGGTTGCCGACTTCAAGTTAAGAAACTTCTGGAGATCTGGGGGGTGGAGCCTGGAGAGGGTGGAGTTTGGGAAGGGGAGCGGCCTCAGCAGCGTAGAATGCCACAGAGTCCACCTTACGGTTGCCAGTCCCCAGGTCCTGGTGGGGGTTCCCCCGATTTTTGGATCTTCAGCCTGCCACTGGCCGGCAGGGAAAACCCCATCCCCAAACAACCACATTCTGGTGCAACGCAATGATGTCACCCGGAAGTTACATCATCGCGTTGGTGATGTCACATGGGATGCTCTGGTCTGAGGGCAAAACTCTATGGTAAATTGTATTGAGGTTAACTTGGTTTGGTTAGTCCAGTCACCATTAGTTAGCAGAGTGCTTAAATAAAGCCACAAACGCAGGACCGTCACTTTACCAGGTGACTCAGCTTACAAAGCTACACGGAGCCACGTTGCAAGTTTAGGAGAGAAATACTTCTCTCTTTATTGGAGAAGTACACTTTGGATAGGAAAGAGGAGAGACTGATCGATTGCTAGCTTGCTAGCTAAAGGATGGAGGCGGACGGCGAGAGGCCCGTCTGCCTCACGGTGCCAAGAGAGGACAGCCGACTTTCAGACATGGGTGACATGATTGAGGTTTACAAGATTGTGCATGGGAAAGAGCAGGTAGCGAAAGAGGTACTTTTCTCCCTTTCTCACAATGCAAGAATTCGTGGGCACTCAATGAAATTGCTGAGCGGTCGGGTTAGAACGGATAAAAGGAAGTCCTTCTTCACCCAAAGAGTGATTAACACTTGGAATTCACTGCCACAGGAAGTGGTGGCGGCTACAAGCATGGACGGCTTCAAAAGGGAATTAGATAAGCATATGGAGCAGAGGTCCATCGGTGGCTCTTAGCCACAAGGTATAGATAGGGACTCTGGGGCAAGGGATGCTCTGTCTTCTTGGTGCTTGGGGGGGTCAACAGTGGGCCCACTGCTGGACCTCCTGATGGCACTGGTATTTCTGGCCACTGTGTGACACAGAGTGTTGGACTGGATGGGCCTTTGGCCTGATCCAACATTGGCGTCTCTTATGTTCTTATGACAGCATGTCCCCCTCTCGGGGCGTGCAGGTAGAGAGCAAGTCTGCATTCAGCGCGAGAGAGAAACAGGAAAGGGAAATTGGTTCCTGAGATCACAACCTGCATTTCAAAGGGGAAAGGGGCAGAAGGGGAAAGACAGGAAGGAAGGTCAGTGTGCCTGTCTAGCTGTCTAGCCTCTCTTGCCACTCAGTCTGGAGGCCTGAGGCAGGGGAGAGCGCATGTGGAACTTCCAACAAATTTGCCCATAAACCATAGAATTTTGCCCCCAAACCAGAGCATCCCGTGGCGTCATTGCGTTGGGGAATGTCCTGGAATTCATGCCGAGGGGACCTGGCAACCCGACTCCACCTTTCCAAAGCAGCCATTTTCTCCAAAGAAACTGATCTCTGTAGTCTGCAGATCGGTTGCAATTTTGGGAGGTCTCCAGGTTCTGTCTGGAGGTTGGCAGCCCTACCTCTCCCTCACTGTGACGTCAGACTCTTACCTTGCAGTGCTGCAGTGAACAGGAGGAGTAAAATATATTCCTTTTTTTAAAAAAAGGAAGTGAAACTTGCTTGCTTCCTCCCCTGCAGTCTTTGGATCTTGCAGTTAATACTGGCCACTGTGCCTTGTGAAAGTTCACGCACAGTCCAGATGTTACCCTGCCCCATGCCGTTTCCAAACCTCTCAACACCACTGGCCCAAGACAGTGGATTGTGGCCAGCTCGTAAAATGGTAAACGCACCGAGCTGCCTTTTTCCTGAGTCAAACTCGGGTTCCCTCTATCTCAGTCCTAGGGGGCCGCAGTGACTCAGAGGTTAAGAAGGTCTGTAGTTCGGCAGTTCGAGACCCGAGTGTGCCGCCTGATGGAGTGAGCTCCCTCTCTGGCCCCAGCTCCTGCCAGCCTAGCAGTTCGAAAGCAAGAAATTACAAGTAGATAAATAGGTACCACTTTGGTGGGAAGGTAACAGCGTTCCGTGTGCCTCGGCATTTAGTCATGCCGGCCACATGACCACGGAAACGTCTTCGGACAGCGCTGGCTCTTCGGCTTGGAAACAGAGATGAGCACCGCCCCTAGAGTCGGATTCGACTAGCTTTTGAGCAAGAGAAACCTTTACCTTTACCTTTTTACCTCAGTCCTGCCTTCTCTGGCTGGGAGCACCTTTCCAGGGTCGCAGACTGAGGAAGGTTTTCCCTCTCACCCTGCTACCTGAGATTTGAAGGGCTGAACCTGGGACATTCTCGATATACAGCGTGGCCCCTTTCTATCACATCTTCAGAAACGTCCAGAGTCAGAACCTATGTGTCAAATGATGTAAAGGCAGGCAATGGTAAACCACCTTTGAACGTCTCTTGCCAGTTTTGTGTAGTGGTAGGGTTGCCAAGTCCGGCGTTGCGCCGCAGCAGGGGACTCCTGGCTTGCGGCTGCAGGATGTGACTCACGCCACCCGGAAGTGACGTGATGACACCGGGCACGCTGGGGGCGGGGCCACGACCATCCGAGGGA